GGTGGAATCCAAGTACCAGATTTCGAAGCAGAACATCAGAAATATTTACAAGCGCTGAACAGACATGGATCATTTTTAACAAAATAATTAGGAATAATATTCTACATATTTCCACCAAGTTTCATCAAAATACGATCATCTTTGACTGAGTTATAGTGCAAAAATAGTGTGAAAAGTCTGTTCCCATGTTAACAGATAGGGATTTTTTGTTTTTGGTGACTTTGCTGTGACCTTGACTCTCCAAAACTAATCACTTTTAAGTTGGGTCATAATCCAAATGTATACGAACTTTCGTCCAAATCCATTCAAACGTTTTGGACAAACAGGGGGAAAACATAATCTCCGTCCACCTTAGGTAGCGGAGGTAAAAAGTAGTTATGTGGAAAGTTAAAATGTTAATTACGTTAAAATCAATCTTTATTGTAATTTCACAGCACAGGACTAGTGTATTTACAGCAGAAAACGATTCACTAATTTCAGTAAAATGCACAAAAAAGCCTGTCTCCTCACTTGATAGCTTTTAATGCTTGACCCGTTTCTAAAATCGATAAAAAAAATTATTTAAGATCCAACACCTCAAGCTGTGATTGGATAGGAAGAAGTAACATGCAAAAATTCTTTACGTCTGCTAAATACAGTGCTTAAATCCAGTTTTTAAAAAAAATAATTGTGATGGAACGCATCCAATTATGTCTCTTAAAAAAATATATCAACCCAAGTAAGATGAATAACATACCACGAAAAGCGATAAAACAGTGTTAACAATGACAATAAATATTCTAATTCAGCAACTGATTTAATTTAAAAAACAGCTATTGATAAGGGTACGATTATGTATTTCCTTTTTAGCAAACTTAAAAAAAACACTTTCAAAAAATGTATGCCAACCTAACAAAATGTGCACATGATGTCCAATGCGAGTCAAACACTTCAAAATAACTGTTATTACGATTTATGAATATTAATGATTCAGTCATTCCACTAAATTGCCTTAAGAACAGGAAAATAAAAAATAATAATAACAAAACTTTAAAATAAACATTAAAAATGGTAGTGACAGTTAGGTGGAGGGCATCCCACTATTGAACCCACTTAACATTAATTATTGAGTCATTTGCTAACTACAAGTCGGGGCATAATAGTTACTCACTCCCAAATTCCACCCATTAGATAGAAGGAAAAAATCCTACATAAGATTAAACACCAGACCTTCAAGGATGTTTTCACAAATAACTGAATTCAGGGTTAGTTGTGTTAACGATAGTGATAATAAATATTAACTTAGCCCTTCACCAAAGTTGCATTAGTAAAACAATTATTGCCAAAATAAGGATCAAATACTAACATTTCTTGACAAGAATAATACCAAAAGGGTTAATGAAAATTAGATTACTATCCCAATTTTTTACACAAACTATCAAACATGCTAAGCAAAAAATAACGCCGTGATTCTGAATCTTTCTACAAACCAACTTGTGTTTTTTTTATTCATCCGTTTCTCATCATTCTATTCCGAAACGCTGAATAATCGTTTCACACTTATCACGAGGATCGCATTGCGCAATAGCATCAGTAGTGCGAACTTCGAGATATGGGGGCGTTTTGGAACTAAGTCACGTGATACCGGCTAACATTATTCAGATCAATTGCAAGTGGAAATTCCAAACGCGCGAGATCAGCAACCGTTAGATATTGTGACTACCCGGATGTGGTCTTTTCGTTGTCGGCCCACATTCCGCACCAAGCGCATTCCTTTTACCCTCTTGAGACACGAGTCATGGGGCGGGTGTTAGTTCACGGCTTACTTGGAACGCGTTCGCCAAAGGCAATGGACCCAGCCGAGTGTAACACAGACGTATATAGAAATATTTTGATTCTTCTAAGTTTGTAACTAGTGTGCTGGAGGTACGTTCAACCCTATCGGCCATACTCCAACAAAGTGACAATCTAAGCGGTGTTTTTGAACAGTTTTTGTTTTAGGTCAAAACTTTGAAGTAGCGCCGACAACTTCTTATCGCAGCCACCTGCACGTAAAGTATACACAACGCTTTAAGTAATTAGTCCCCCCCCCCCAAAAAAAAAACAGAATGACGTAAGATTGTTACATTATATACATATATATGAAAACACTTCAACATTCATTTATCAAGTACATATAGGTTAAGCCCCTGAATGAAGTGAATCAATCAGTTATTTCTAGAGAAGATAAGGAAATGATACATGTATTATTGCACAACAGGAATAAATAAAAGCTTTGTTTATTCAAACATAAATTTACGCCACAACCATGGTAAGAACAATGAATAATCACAACGTTTTACAAATGAACAAAATCCAATCGATTTTGTACAATGACTCACTTCGAAAACATCCCCGCTCAATAGCCGAACACAGAACTACATTCATGGCTCAATAAGCCGAATACAGAACTACATTCATGGCAAGTCGCTTACTTTAAAAAACATTTTTCACTAATTCATGTTCAGCAACTTTAAAAATGTACAAATCCACGAAGTTTCCGATTTTCTAAAAAAATTTTGTTTCACAAGAATTAGTTTAAACAGATATTTCCCCCTTTAAAATAAGTTGTGTTTTGTAAGTCTGATTTTATATTTTTGCTCTTTTACCACATATTACATAACTTTCTGTACTTCCAGTTAACTAGACTGAGAACTTTTCCGGTTTTTGGTCTACCACAGCCTTATAATAAATTTGTCTTACCACAAGGAGCACCGAAATCAGACGGGCAGTATATCAGTACACTTTTACATGTCTTGTATTCATTATGTTTATTTAGCCATCGCTGACAGTAATAATGTTATTTTAATTATTTTTATTTTGTCCATAAAATTGTTAATTTTTGATACTGATCTAGATTTTACAACGAAAGTAAAAAAAAAAAAGTGGTGCAGTTGCTGGAATTTAGTTAGTTCAATAGCAAGATATAAACATCCATTGATTGACACAGTGTTGCCCTTATATTAAATCTTATAATCATTAAATGATTATTACGCGACTTGTTTTAGATTGGAATAGTCATAAATTAGATAGAGAGTCGATCAAAGTAACAAAAACAATTGGTAGGACCGTCGGAATACGCCTAAATATTTTCATTCGAAAACAAAGAAACTGCAAAAATTAATAATTTTTTGGGTTTCTTCAGGCAAGTGACTGGTGAAGTTATTTTCACTTCTAACGACGGAAAACAATATTTGTTCGAGATAGAACAATAAATGTAAACTTATTTACAGCAACCAACTACCAATATCAGCAATACACACATAAAACAGATGATGAATAACTCAGAACAAAACTTCGTGATATCTACGCAATCAGCTAGTCATACTAAATAACATATTGTTAAAAAAGTTCACGATGTTCAGTTTTCACGTCGCATTTTCTGATAGAGAAGTTTGCTGAATAATGATTGACAATTTTGACGGTGGCGCCATCATAGTCACGAGGAGTTTTACACATGTGACTAACGCGTATATCCGGTTCGAAACCCAGCTGTACGATATCGATAAATCAATTTTGTTTCATTTAACAAAAGCAAAAGTTACACTAAATTATTCTTAAATTTATAAATCTATTTTGTATGGTACTTATCATCATGTTTATTAACCTTCTCTTTATATAAACACATATATTAGTCTTTATTTATTAAACTACAAATTTAGTCACAAACAAATTAAAATTCACGAAAAGAAACGCGCCTTGTAAGCAACACGAAAATGAATACTGATTACAAGT